CAAATGCAATAAATCTAGGCTCCTTTTCCACCTTTTTTCTGTTTAGCTAATCAGACGCTTAGGGCCTATAGTACTGATAGCATCCAGTGCCACTGCAACCTGGGGCCCGTCATGAATGATGATAAATTTGACCACCGCCTTGCAAGCCTGCCTCACACTTTCCTAGTTTACCGGCTCTCCTGCCCTGCCAGTGGTCAAGACGGTCGGCGACAGTGTAAGGTGAATGTGCGTACAATCGTGAACACCATCGTTGGACGCCTTTGGCCAAGGCTAACGATAAACCGGTAATATCGGACATAATATCGGTAATATCGTGTGTAGTAATTAGCCTAAGTGCATTTTGAGCTTTTCATTGGGTCCTGGGGTCGCTAAGAAATGTATAGACTGTTTAAAATTCTTTGACCCTGACAGATATCGCCACAGTTTATTTTTTAACGCGTAGAGCCTTCAGAAGTTTTTTGTAACTCTTTGCAGTAAGTTTGACTCCGATCAGTGAATTTCGAACGGTAACGCTGTCGTGCAGAGCCCATATTTCCTATCGACAGGTCAGGCAACGTTCCACTGTCGTGCTTAGCGCATGCGGACTGGCATGCGTGTGGCCTTGAACTTCAATAGACCGTAGCAACAAAACCATGTGTCAGATTAAGATTGGATTTCGGAAGAATTGTCCTGAAAAAATTTGCTTTTACATGCACAGTTTCTTTTTAAATTGGACAGCGGCCTCCCCTGGCAGTGGCATGGTTGAAAAGTACACCGGCTCTTTTTCAAATATATATCTTCAGAAAGGAAGCTTTATGACGATAGTGGAAAGTTCTCTGAAGAAAAGGGTACAAAACGTCGACAAATCTGAGACAAAAATGACCGTCAAGTTTAATTTATTTATCTGCTGTGTATTTTTAACAGGAACAAATGTATAAATGTGTCATGAACACTGCCCTCGCCCCGTGTTATATTGTGTCGGCTTCTCCCCGCCTCTATTTTTTTCAAATTTCCATGGCCGGCAAGTAATCCCCGGCTACAGTCACCCATCCCTCAGTTCCCAAATTCACGGCACTGAATCGAACGTATTGACATTAGAAATCGGAGCTGAAGTACGAAGGACCGTATAATACAAACTGATTAGCCGTTGGCGATGAAAGAGCCTTACCCTTGCTGGCCAGTTTAAAAGAAACCATCTTACGCTACATAATGTTTTAACAATCTATGACTCGATGAACACGGATGTTTTAACATCAAAGTTAAGGATAGCGCATTCTTTGCTGGTACCGTATGTCTGAATATGAAACTTCATGTGAAGGAGCTTTTAAAAGAAACATACCACCATTGTCGTTACGTAGTAATCTTCAGAATAAACTATTTCTTCCTGCAGATATTTTGGAAAGTTGATTCATGGTTTGTTTCTCTCCAGGGAAAAATTTCTTTTAATAAAGATAAAGCACACAAACGTGAGTGTTACAGTCTTCCACGATGCCGTGTGCTGTGCGCATTGCCCAGAGTCGGTGCGACAGGTTTTGAGTCTACACTATTAATTAGGCTAAATAAGAAAAGGAACGATAATCAGCTCTATGACTAGTTCAGACAACCAGCTTGCTCATAGCAGAACAATTATTTATGAATGAAAACGACAAATCGATCACATCCGCTTACATATCGAAGCTTTAAAAAAGAACTGCACAATGACGTTTTCATGCTTCGAAATTCCTAATAGAATATCGATTTAATCAATCAACTTGTTTGAACTAAATAGCCGCTCTATA